CCAATTTTGATGAAGCGGCGTATTTACTGGTTCAGGTCGTATATTTAAAATTTATTTGCTGTGACTGCATTTAGATAATCTTCTACAGAGTAATCAGGATCTGTGCCTGTAAATACCATTAGTGGCTTATTCGATGATATTGATGATCCACCCAGTAGGTAAGGATTCATCGTCATTTGTAGTGATTCTGCGGCATTTGTTATTTGAAAAAATTTGTAAGTTGGCTTTTTGTTGTTTCATGTTGTTGTAAATAATATGGCAATGGGATTTCGTTATGCAATTGAGTTGGTTGGTAAGACTGTGTATTGACTGGGTTTTGTGGTTGAAAATTTTTTTTGTATGATGTTGGATTATTTCTAGATTGTCGTATTTGTTCATCTCGTGTGTATGGTTCAAAAATATCTGGTTGATCAATACTGTAAGAACGAGGTCTTTGGCTTAACTAAAATTGTTGATGATTTTGATTATAATATTTCTCATCATCTGATGGAAAATAATTAGCTGTATAATAAGGAGGTTGATTTCTACTATGGTAGCTAATTGTATTATTTTTATTTTGCTGGAAAAATGGGTAATTTTCACTTTGATCTTGTGAAGATCGTAGTTGATCATTAAAAATTACTGAGTTTGAAGTTGGTTGTGGTATATTTTGACATTGTGAGTATGAGTAGTGCTGAGTGTTCATATTAAAAGGTTTTGTTGTTTTTGATCTATTTACATAATTATAATTATGTTCTGCGAAATTATTTCTATGTGATGTTTTTTGTTTATATGATGGCTTTGTTACTGGTCGAAACGTTTGGTAATCTATTTATTAGTATTTTTGAGCAAGAGAGGATTTTACGTTGGATTGTATAATTGTTTGTTGTAACGTTGGGTTTTTTGGTTTTCGAGTTGTAAAATTGGGTTGAATAGGTGAAATGCTTTGTTGTGCTTCTGTTGTTGTTATTGTTTCAAATATTTCTTCATTTACGAAATGTTATGGGGTTTGTACATCTTGTTGTATAAGGTTTCTTGTTCCGTTTAAGTTGTCTTGATCTATGAAAGTAGAGTTTAGACTATGATTTCCTGCTCCTTTGGGAAAGAACGAATTATAGTTTAAAGGTGTTGCGTCAGTTGTAATCGGTTTTCTTCAACATAATCTTTGTGAATAGAGATTGTGCTTATTGCTTGGCTTGATATATTTGTTGGTATATCAATATACGATTCATGGGACCATTCAGGGCCCCAAACATAATCTGTTTGTTCTGCTAATATGGTTTCGTGATCTGTATTTTGTGGTCTAAAATTTTTTCCTGCTAGTGCGATAAGATCAATATTATGAACAAAATAATCGATTATGAACCATGCCAAAATTTTTTGTAATTTGCGTTTAACGTGTTGTATTATTTAGTTACTAGTTAGGTTTTCACTGATTGTATTTAAAATTTTGAAAATGAATGTATTTCTTGGCGTACGGTTGTATGTCGCAATTTTTGAGTTGGTGAATCGCCTTGAGGTTCTTTCAATTCTAATATAGATAAATAGTTATAGATAAGTGAAAATACATCGTTTGTGAATATTGAATTTGCTCTTTGTGAATTTTGATGTTGTATATTTTTTATGTATTCTGTAATAACTTTTGAAAATTCAGTATCTACGTCATCAGTTTGAATGAGATATTTGTCATCAAATGAGTTTGGTGAACTGATTTCTGTTGTGTAGATTCCATATTGTGATGTGAGACTACACATGCCTTTGAGATAGTGGTCAAGAATTTGTCCTTTTATTTTTACATCGGGAAATTTTTTCGTGCATGGACTATCTCTTTTTTCGAATAAATTTATGATTATATATTGGCAAAACTGCACCTGTCCTCGAGCTTCAGCTTGTGGATGTATTCAAAATGGGAGTGTTGAATCTTCTAGGTTTTCTTCATTTCGAATCATTTTTGTGTTGTATCACTGTTAGCGTGTAATTTTCAATGTGTCTTATTGGTTGATTCCAATGGTACAGACGTATTGGTTTGTTTATAAATGACTTTTATTTTCTACGTTTTCCTTTTATTGATGCTGGTGACATGTTTTCTGAGTCAGAAAAGTATATTTGATGGTCATTTTGATGGTTTTTGTTTAATGAATCTTTTAAATTGTGGAGTTCTTGTATTGCGCTTGTTTCTGATTTTGAGACTGCGTTTCTTCCTTTTGAAAATAGTTTCCTTATAAATTGTTTTTGTTTGTTAATAACTTTCTTTCATAGTGTTTGTCTTTTTGTTCTTATGTTTCCTACTGTTTGTCTGTGTGGTGTGATTACGGGGTCGTATCTTTCGTCGTTAGTTATACAGTTTTGTAATATAAGTGCTTGTTTGTTTACTAAATTAACTCATGACTTAAGGTTTAGGATGATGGATGCAATATTGGGATTAGCGATTTCTAGTGTCTTGAACTGTTAGTTCTTACGATATTTTTTGGGCTTAGCTTAACTTAGAGCGTATTTGTCGGGTTTGAGAGAAAAGCATATATCGATTCGTGAGAATGATTTTTACTTTATCGTGAAAATTTCTAAGTTAAGATAGACTTACCTAATCTTACATAGAGGTTGTGATTTGTGATCTAGGGTTGGAGAATAGTAAATCGATCCTCGAGGCTCAGGTATAATTAGAACGCAAGTAGTTCGTTAGATACTATTTTATCTAAGTTTAAATGTTTTAGCTTGGGTCATTTAAGAGGAATGGGATCAAGTGAAGGATGAGTAACCTAAATTCTTCACTGTTTATCCTAATTAGAATGGTTAGCTTTTTGAAAAATTTCTGTTAATTCTGGGTCTTAAATAAAGGTTGGGTAGTGAACCGACGTTTGAGGTCGTTAGACACTAATTATTATGGGAGGGGCAGAACAAAATTGTTCTATATGATCCAAGTATAAGCCTTGATGATCAGAAATTTAGGTTTACTTTAATTTAATTTGAAGATCCAAGGTAAGCCTTGATGATCTGCTATTTGAAATGAAATTAATTTAAGTGAAAACAAGGATAAGCCTTCATAGTTTTTCGATAAAAATTTAATTTAAAAAGGTTAAGTTTTTAGTTTTGATGCTTGTTAGTTTTTGAGATTTGCTGTTATGTTTTAGGTGACAAAGCTGGGATGAACTAATTTTTGTACTTTTATATACAATAAATATATTTTTTTCAAGATGTTTTTTTATTTACTGCAGATTTTTCAAGAAGAACGACTAGTGTTGTTTTTATCGGTCGTTATTGTATAATTATTAGGTTTAGCGCCATGAAAATTCTTTGAAGATGTTTCTTCAAAATTTTATATTAGTAAGTGAAAATTTAAATTTACTGCTGGAAGTAATCTATTTATAAAAGTTTGATCTGGTTTTTGTTGTACAATCATGAAATCGATTTGTAGATTTCTTTCTAGTCGTACGTCGTCTCTTGTCCGAGGTCTTCTTTCAATACCGCGTAGTTCTTGTATTGTTCGGAAAATTGGCTCCGATCTATTTAATCGTAGAGACATTTCTACTAAATTTTTGTCAAATAACGTTTTTTCAAATTTTGTTTTTGTCTAATTCTAATCTATTGTTCTGGTTAATGTTTCTAATCTAAGTTGGTTAAGGTCTTGTTCGAGACTTTTGGTCGCACCAGATGAGTTTATATGTCATTTGGTAAACTCATAGAGTAATTTCAGATAAGATACACCGCCTGCTAGTCACGCTATCTTATTTTCGGCCGGACAGATTCGTGCAGCTTCTTAGTCTAATACCAATCTTAATCTTACTCTCATATCTCCTAGTATCAATAGATCTAGTGTACACCGGTTTATGCGAGTTAGTTTCCAGAATGAGAACAACTGTATTCTAAGTTTAATTCAAATTGCTCTGGTGCTGAAACTACAAATAAGTGGGTCGTTTGTTTGATGGAGTTTGATTGGTAATTATTCAATATTTTATAGAGATAAAATATCAGAATAATATCCAAAAATAAATTCTAGTTTAGATCTGGTTCAAGCACTAAAAAACGGTAAAAACTGAAGTATAACACGTGAAAGAATAGCAGGTTTTTTCTCGTGTTTTTTTGCAATTTTGACGGGAGCTTTCTGTGCTAATTAGACAGTAAACAACTATTATTAGTTCTTTTGCATAAGTGTACTTTCATGAGTACTGTTATCAAAAACTTTCAAAGCGTCTCCAAAGGTCCGCGACTTGTTTCCAGACTTTCGCGAAAAATTTCTGTCATGTCCAGATTTTTGCGAGTGAAAAATTCTGCAGCGGCTTTCGGGGTCAAAGAGTAGACTTAAGAGACCCTGCAAAGGGCGAGACCGGTGCGACCCGAAATGAAGCGGTGCGACCGGCGCAAACAAACTTTAAACTTTTAGACTTTCGGCCAATTTTAGACTTTCGCGACCAATATTGAGATTCTTTTCGGTCGTGAATTTCGCAAGAAAGGTGGAGACAGCGCGGCCGGTGCGACTCGACAGGCAACGGCGCGACAAATTTTGATCATTGCCCGACTATCGTCACTTACCAAAAAGATCCGTCGCGATTATCGCGAAAGTGGCGCTGTGGATCGCGAGAGTCAGGACATACAAAACTTCGTCGCAAAATCTGGACACAAAATTGCGAAAATCTGGAAAATGTTTGTATGTACTTTCGCAACTGCAACTTAATGCCATTTCGCAACAACAACTTTAGGATCTGACAAAACTGTGGCCTCGACCTGGGTTTTAGATATTTGTTTCCCTTAGTGTTTGTATCAGTTTCGTTTTTCCTGTTTAACTGTATCGCATTATTGTTTTTCACCAAATCATCCATTTCAAATCATCCACTTGCTTATTTATTTTGACTAAAAACTATAAGACTAGCTGCATACATAAAGAAGGCTTCAAAAAATCTGCCCCTTTTTTGACCAATTTTATCAACAGGAGCATCAATTTGCTACGTTATACAGCACGCGAACTGTTCGCTGAAAAGATAATTTGCCCCTACTTATTCCCCCATTGTTGGAAGGGAAAAAGGAACCATTCTATCAAAGAGACGCGTGTGCGTAAATATGGTTGGCTTGCTACCATTCAAAATACAGGTAAATGGTAGCAGAAATATTGAGCTACGAAAAAACGACCAACAAATCGACATATATAAAAGACTACTTCAGTAATAAATGCTTATAGTATTGTTCAACTCGCTTAGACTATCCATTAAAATTGAAAATAACTGTGCTTGAATTCAATGTACTTCAGTTTGATACCCTAAGTCACTTTGAAAAATTAATAACACTTGGCCAGCATGAAAATTATTCGTAAATTATGGACATCTGTAAATATTCACCGTTTTTAATCTTCTGTTTGAGAAACATCGACAAAAAAAATTTATTTGTCTAATATTGAAGTTTGCCTGATTAACAGCCTTTAGATATAGCTAGAGCTAGGCTATTTGGTAATAAACACAAAATAAAACACCGTTTTCATATTGCACCATTATTTCGCCATATTTTCTTGATTTATCTGTTATTGTTAATCTTGCAGTTCTAGTCAAAACGAAATTAGAGAAAACACGAGATTGTATCAGCACTGAGTTATTACCACCATGTGATTTATCTCCTGATTTCGAAATTGAATTCAACCATTTCCCCTGATTTTCTACGAATTCAATTATTACTTAGAGTGTTACAGAAATTACTAAGCAAATTGGAAAAGCTCTTTTAGTGACAGAAAACGCCGTGATATCTTAGCTACAACAAATAGTCAGAATTGAAAAAAAAGCTGTTTCTTTTTTGTAGCTGCGAGTTTAGAGAAACTCTTTGATTGTCGCAGCTAAAACGCCGAATACTGATTTGTTATCTTTATTATTGTCAATTATTTTTTTATTTAAAAAATGCGACGGTGCTTCTAAAAACTTGCAATGACTCTGTACAGGAAAGACGTTATAACCGAAAACTCCGAGCATCATTGCTCATTTTCAGTTAAAAAATTATCACTTTGGAAAGCAGTTGCTTGTGAGTTTTTCGGTTCCTTCATGTTAGTTTTCATAGGCAGTTTGCCCCTTCTTTGTGACAACAACTGGATCGTTTCTGGAGTGTGTTTCGCCGGAGTTTTGGTCACGCTGATTCATATTATTGGGCCTACTTCGGGGTGTAATGTTAGCCCGGCTGTCACTTTGGCTTTTGTGGCTGTGAGGCGATTGCACCCTATAAAAGGATGTCTCTACTTCATTGCACAAATGTTGGGTGAGTTTCTGTTATGTGAAGCAATCTTTGCTCTCTTCATCAAATCTTTAAAAGTCTTGAGAAGGTCTTTGAAAAAAATCTAGGAAAAATTTACAAGACCGTGACAAGAACCATGAAGGTTGCTAAAAAAATTGTTAAAAATCTTGACACAAAAACAAATATCTTACAGATATAATATTCCAAAGTATGAAGATTTTAAGACTTTTGGTATGAGATTCACTTTATCTCCAAGGCCCCACAGCCTTGATATTGAACACTGATGACCTTACTAAACCAATGCAAATAAGACAAGACGGTTGCTCGAACTTGGCACCGAAGACAATGATTTTAGGCGCTATTGCTGGAGCCGGTTACCTCTATTTGGCAGCCCCTTCGGACTGGACGAAGAAGTATCAGCTGGGTTTGACCTCGTTTGACCCCGAGGAGGTCAACTGGGTTCAAGCTGTGCAGATTGAGTCAGCTGCTACTCTGCTGCTTGTGTTGTTGATGCTCGTCATTTCAGATCCAGATGAAAACAGAGAATTTGAGGTATTCATTTGTAAGATCAAGTTAACATCCTCCACTCCCCCCCCCCCACCGAGTTAGAGCAAGTTAAGAGTTAAGATCCTCCACCCCAGCGTTCAATATAAATTAAATTTGCTAGCGCTGCGAGTAAAAAGCTCAATTCTGATTGGCTGAAAATTCCCACTTAGAACCAAGTTCTAAGCTAACATCCTCCCCCCTAAACGTGTTTGGGGGGAGGATGTTAGCTTGGTCCTATTTGGGATTTCTTCAGCTATTTCCTCATGCGGCTTGCTAAAAAGTCCGTATATGCTAAATATTTCTTTAATTCTTTTACTTACACTTTATTTGTTTCTTTCATAGGGGGGTTATTCAATATAAAATTCGTTCGATTTATCTAAGTTTTATTACAATTAGTCGCCTTTTAATGTACGACACAGTAGATTTCTCAGGGATTCGACCCCCTCAACAACCAAAGAATCCCAATTTCTTTTTATTTTAATGACATCCATTTTCGGCCGACCAAACCTTAAATTTTTCTAAAGGCGCATCCGGTGCCAATGTAAACTAAATTTGAAGGAAGAGCGCACCAAAAAAAATGTTTGGCCAAAATTAGCAAAAAGCGCCTAAAAATGGTATGTTTGATTTGTTTTTTTATTTTTGAAAAAAAAAGCTCCCAGCAGGAAAGAGTAAACTTTTTCATCTTAATTTTGTGGCGGTCAAGGTTTTTCGTGCACTTATTTTTTTTTGTTCCAGCCGATACTTTGTTAACCGGCTTTTTTTCAGGGATTCCCCGCTTTGTCTAGTGGCTTAGCATTGATATCTTGTTTCTATGCTGCTTACCCCTACACGGGAGCAAGTCTCAACCCCGCCCGCTCTTTTGGACCCGCCCTTCTGACTCTCAATTTCAAGCAACAATGGGTCTACTGGATCGGCCCTTTAACAGGATCTCTTCTGGGGGTTGTCATCTATAAAATGCTTCTGGTCAAAGGAGTTCCCCGGTGCAGTTCAAAAGAGAGAAGTGTTAGCCTAGGAGGCGAATCAGAGGATCCCAACGTCGAGGAGCAGCAACCGAGGAGGATCCGTCCCGAAGCTTAAGAAACTGATTAACCTTTTCGAATTGTATAATTAAATCCCAGCGCATAAACTATATGAGTTTTCCTGAATAGTGAAACACCTCAACCTCAAAAACATCACAAGAAAAGAACCGAACCCTACTTTTTGAAGCTGATCTTTCGCTGTTTTACTGCGCTTTTCGACTGATTGAAATTTAAATTACTTTTTTTTAGTTTGCAACAAGCACACTTTACGGCAGTATAAATTCAATTCCGTTTTATAACTGTTCTGCGAAAACTAAAAAACACAAAAATCTCACAAAAAGAGAGCAGGCTTTCGACATGGAAAAGACGGTGTTTCCTAGGCTACGTAGCCTTTTTTGGCGAGTTCCTGATGCACGGAGGGGGCTTTTTTCATGTGCGAAGGACTGAATGCGCGAAAATTCTCTACCAACAAACGCTCTCTGGCTGAATTTATTGCTTATTTTGTTATGAATAATGAATTCTGATAGCTTGACCTAATTTTCGCTCATTCGGTCCTTCGCGCATTCGGGATTCCCCCATGAAAGAAGGTTTGATTGGGCTAAAATTTTCCAATAACCAAGAAGGTTTGTTGTCGTTTTTTGGCACTTGGATATTCATTTTGGAAGCTTTAATTTAAATTGGAGATTTCACGGCTTTTGTAGTCTTTCATGTTCTTTTGGTCATGAAATCTAACATGTGAAGGTATGTTGGAGCAAACTAAAAGGTTTCCATGCTCTGTGGATTTTTTCTCGGTCTTCTTTCTCGGCTTTTATTTCAGAATTGAAACTGTTTTCTTAGTCAATTTCACTTTCGGAAACTAACAAAAGTTCAATATAAAGCTATGATAACATAAGAGATTGAAATGTTAATTTTATATGTTAATAAGTGGTGAAAACATTCAAATATTTAGCATTTTAGTTTTTACAAGCACTCTTTGCCCCTCATAAAACCACTCGTGTACAAACCTCCCATTTTTTTCTCAGAAAAAGCCGAAGTTATTACAATGCATATTGATTGAAATTTAATACCAAAAAATTTATCCAAAAATGATTTTATGAGCAAATGATAATAATTTAAAAGCCATTTAATACAATTTTTTAGCTGTTTTTTTTTACCTTGCTAAAATATTCAATTTTAAATTTGGTTAAACAAAATGTTTCTGGGCTACAGCAGATCATGGGGTAAAAAAAGGTACGGTGCACTGTCCAATAGTTTTCGTATTGTATATTAACAATTTTTCGGAGTAAATTGTGAAATCACGTTCAAAGTGTTCAGTTTGCGGATGTAATTTAGTTTTTTTTTGGAAAAAGACGCCCGTTTTGAAGTTTAACAAAACAGATACATTAAAGTCTGTATCGCCATTTTTATATCCGAAAATGAATTCATGATTAATGCAGACAAAATCTATATAATCAGATTTAACAAAAACACAGAATCATTAAAAAGTGTCTCTCAGCAAAATTAGGTCAAATTACATCGTACGGCATAAATTGCCGTTAATGTGATGTGTTACTTAACTGAAATCCTTATTTTTTCCCATCTTACTTTAAGTGGAATACTTTGTAGCAGGTAAAAACAAGAAAATGTCAGTCGTCTGAAACAACAAATGAACTGGGGAATGAAAGTCTGCTTCATGAATAAAAAGGTTACAGATGTTGAGATTTGCATTCGAAAAACAAAATACTCCCTGCAAAAATATTTTAAATAAAAAAAATTTTGCTCAAAAATTTTGATCTGCTTACTGAGAACACAAATCCTTTAACTAAATACAAAAAAAACAAGCTAAAAGTCGTGCAGAACCATAAAAAGACTTTATACAATAAATCGAAAAAAATAAGTACTGGTCAGGTTTGTGGAATTTACGCATCATATTGTTTGATTGCTATAATATGTGCCAAGAAATGGAGTAGTTGATTTATGAGTTTGATACAAATAAGAAGAAAAACAAACTCGAAGTTGATAAATATTCAATACATTTTAATGAACAAAAAGAAATATATAACTCTCACATTTACCTTATAAACATTCATTATGATATTGTTTAGAAGTCACCCTGTGTTGAATTAATCTACTTAGCTGATTTGTAAACTCTATCAAAAAGCATGTATTTTGCAAAAAGCAACTTCCGGGCTTACATGCTTGTCAAAAATTTTTAAAATTTTTTAAAAAATCCCGTCAAATTTATTGGTTTTTTCACAAATAATCATAAGAGCATGTGATAGGCAAAATTTTTCAGTTTGATCAAATTTACGCAATTAAAACGAAAAACCAGTCACACGCGGTCGTTATCTGTTTTATTCAATATTTTCAACAAAGGGTAGATGTTAAAATTGAAAGTAAGATGAAAGTAAAATCAATAAGAAAACCTACTGTTTTTCAAATGAGGTAATTCTCGTACTCGAGTTCGCACGTTTCTTAAACTCATGCTCGCATTCTATTTCAAGGTCACAATAATAACATGACCTCTGAACATGCTCAGCCATTCAACATATCTTGGCACAAAGCCGTAATCGCTGAGTAAGGTCGTCATGTTTTGTTGATTCTTTTACGAAAACTTCTTTTAAAAAGACTGTATTATGATCCAATTAGTTCTCTTTAAATAATTTTATTAACAGATTAACAAAGTTTCAGCCCTGTATTTTGCAGGCAGGGTTGAAATTTGATAAACCGTAAATGAAATTAAGGAAATGAGCGGCTTTTCAGCGGTTTTTCAAAGCAAGATTTGAGCGGTTTGAGAGACTTGATCGGCTTTTCAGCGGGATCTCGACCCGGGTGATTTACTGCAAAAAAAAATTACGTTCAGCTGGCTACTTGATCTTTTGTTTTTTTTTGCTCCGTTGTTGTAAATAAACTAATCAAGCTTAGACATTGCATGCACTCGCATATCGTCGTTTGGCAGATGTCTGATCAGGGCTAGGTCAATTATACTTAATCGGGAATACTTTTCCCCGAAATTGTCCCACATTGAAGTAGACTAATGGGCTTTCAGACTCGATTTTTGAAACGAGTTCAAAACCTTTCGCTCAAACGAGTTGTAAAATTACCCCAATTGTTCGATCAAACGTTAATTATTTGATTTTTTTTGGATATAAATTGCATATCTAATTTGAATCTTTCTTACATACAATAGTAGTGATAGAACAAAAGAAGCATGACTTCGTTGGTGATTTTCAGAGTTTCTTCGTTCGAGTTTCATCCGTCATATTTACTGTCGGCTTTTCTATAATTCAACACCAGTCTCAAATCTTCATATTCGTCTTTCTGCCGTATGCCATGAACTAGCAAAGTGCTGTATACAAGAGCGGCGGCTACAGCACCCAAAAAGGGTCCCAGTGTATAGACCAAAAGAGAGATGTCATAATGGCTCATGATCATGGCCTGAGCTAGAGCTATGGCTGGGTTCATGCAGCATTTAGTGAGTGGCGAGATTGAGAGAAAGAGACCACTGACCACTAGACCGACAATAATTGGGGCGACACCCTGAAAAAACACAAATTTAGCTAGCTAGGATAGCTAGTTGCGGTTTAAGTAGTACAGAACTTTTCGACCACAATAATAAAAAACAATCATAATCAAAGATAAACATTATTTTAAAAAAAAATGTTTTACTTCTTAGATCCAATGGATCGTTTTATTGGTAAAGGTTTTATAAATGTACACCCTTTTTGCCATCCTCCAATAGCATTTCCTACCCACAACCCAGAAACTAACAGAAACAGTTTCTCAAAGTTTTTTGATTAAATCTGTTCTATTGAATCAAAGAAGCTCCTTTCAAAAAACTGACTCATGCGGGAAAATAGAGTACAACAATATGCGCTTATAGAATATAAGCTTATCATCCAGTATAGACCCGTATGCTCGCTTTGCTTGGTCAAAATTAGACTAAACAATGAAAATGTCAAGCCGGTTTTTCTCGACACTGAGAAAAACTTTTGGGATTTTTTTAATTGTTCCAATCACTGCTTAAATAAATTGAACATGACATCGATCATATTCGCCCCAATGCAATAATTATTTTGGTACGTAACGTTCCTTTTTGTATCATTTGTTATTTGCCTCCGTGTATTTCTCCTACTTCTCTTCTGCAAGGGGGTGTTGCTAAAAAACCCACCGACTAAATCAAAACTTACCGCAAACTGTTTCCCTGCGATGGGATCGGTGACGAGAAGAAACACCAGACCCAACAACATAGTAGCCAGTATCTCGACGAAAAGACCCTGGGTGAAAGTGGACTTGGGGTTCAGTTCAAGTAGCCAGTTGGGGTGTCCTGTGCCGTCTAGGTGTCCCTGGCCCAAGATCCAGTCAGAGGGACAGAGCGCGCAGAGGGTCCCAGTGGCACAAAGAGCACCTGAAAAAAAAGCAATACCCGGGTTGCCCACCATAGAAGATAATGTGCAACCATACACATCCATGCATGATTTGTATGGAAAATGACCAATCATACGTGGCACATACGTTTGTTTCAAAAACCCTCAAAATAGCTTTTGAATTGATTAAATTAGTGAAAAAACGGTTTATCCTCCTTATGCAAGCTGTTGTTAAGATATGAAAAACTTTCACCATGCAACTAATATATGGTGCTACGTATGGAAGAGATTTTTCAATAGTATACTAACAACTTAAAAACAATACTAACCATGATGTATTGACGTGTACTGGAATTTTTTGATGGGAAGAGGGAGTTTGAATGTTTTGATCAATTAATTATAGGCCAAACAATTTGAATTTTTTGAGCTGTCGAAACTCCAAAATAACCGTTTTTGACAAAATTTTCAGCATCGCACCCTAATTTTATTGGCGCTATCTAATAATTTTGTTTAAATCGCCTTTAAATTATTTTAGACTTATGAATTATGAATGACTGCCGTAAAATTGTTAGAAAAAGGAGACACTTTGGAAAATTTGGCACCCCACAGTTGGAAAAAAAATAGGCGTTTTCCCACCCTCCCCTCCCCCTGGACGAGACGGCCATAGGTAACTTTGAAGATAGTCATCTAAAAGGTCGTTGTTTGGAGAAATTTCGAACGCTTTTATTCAAAAGAAGAATTTCTCCCACTAAGCAACGTCAAAGCTCTCACTAAGCTGACTAAGTTATAGACCGCAATAAACTTTCTTCATAATTGGAGAAGACTTTTCAAAAACTGACCGATAAATTGAGCAACTGAGTAGAGCAAAACTTTGACCAAATTAGTAGAACCAGTCAGCAGTTTGCAAACAGTCATCGCTGGGTTAATATGACTGCCTGAGGTCGGACCACAGAGGTAGATGGCTATTATCAGGGCTGAACAAATCGCTAGAGAGGTTGAAATCATCTGGTCCGGTCTAGCTTGTTCTGGATTCAAACCTACAAAAAGTACCAAACTTGAAGTTTTTGAGGCAAATGAACTCGATATAAGCTGAAAGAACGTGCCTTTGCCATTGTATTCAGCCAGGGGCAGATTTAGGGAGAAGTGGGGGAGGCACATTCTTTTCGCTCAGGGGTTCGAACTCCTCGCCAACCAAAGGATCCCCGGGACAATGGATGTCATATTGGTCAAATGGATGAAATTGGTCGCGGAAAATGGATGTCATAAAATAATACCAGAGGGATGTCATAAAACAAAACAACACCAACCATGTTGTTTTGTTTTATGACATCCCTCTGGTATTATTTTATGACATCCATTTTCCGCGACCAAACCAAAGATTTTTATAAAGGCGCCTTCGGCGTCAATATTTAATAATATTGAAGGGGAGCACGTGCCATAAAGGCAATTTTTCCAAAACTTCGCAATTTTTGTACTTTTTTTTATAAAAACTTGCCAACGGCGCAGAAAAATAGATTCTTTATGGTGTTCGAGGAGCGCTCGGAAAATCAATTTGATCGACCCAAAAAATTCTACAAAGTTTTCGAAACTTTTTGGAAATCCCCCGCTCGAAAAAATCCTAGATCCACCATTGTATTCAGGTTTTATGCCAATTTTTAACGGCATAATAATTATGTTCTCCTGCACTAAAAGAACTAGAACAATTGTTTGTTCGAAAAAAAATTTAGAAAATAAATCGATATACTAATTTATATCTCATTTGTGAATGCAAAGTAGTTTGGTTTATTGGTCATATTTAAAAAAAATACTATGATACAGATAAAGTTATTGATGATGTTAAGACGTTGGGCTACTAAAACTAACACTAGTTTAAGACTCGATACGATAATGGATCTCTATTAAACTAACTTCTATCTAACATTAGATTACAAGACGTTGGTTTAAGATAACTAAGCTAGATAAAAGATAGAAATCGTTACGAAGTTGAATTGAATATTAGTTTCAATAAAAACATACACTGACTAAAGCTCAATTGTGCCAAAAACTGATGCAGGTTTGGCAGCTTTCAAATCTAATTTAAGTTTAGAGCAAGAGCAACATAAAGATTAAAAGATCACCTTGAAGATAAAAGGTCAGTTTTGGCATTCCCCTCGAAAAACTAATATGCGGCAGTATGTGTTGTTAGAATTTACATTTAGTTTTCACCCACAAGTTGCGCCCAAAGCGCAAGGTCGCAAAACTGCCATAAAAGTATTACGCCCGAGGATGAGCCCAATGGGTAAAATCTTAGCACTCAGTGAGAAATTAAGGTCCGCGTAGACCAGGCACGAAACTGAAGGTTTAATGAACTAACTGAAACGAAAAAAAAATGATTATGGGCACCAAAGATTGTGTTTGACCATAAAACGGAATGGTCCGAATAAACATCGAACCAAAGCCAAAGTAATTAACCCCGGATACAACACAACACTTTCTTGGTAGAGGAAAAGTTTTTGAGCGGCGATAACCCATTTCTTCCTGACTATCGAGTTATATAATTGGTGGTACCGTGGGTTGCTCAAGATTGGTGACGGTTGGATTCGGGTCGATGCGGCTTGAGGTGGGTTCTGCTCGTTTACTAGGTTCGGCTCCTCTTTCCGCAGTGTTCCATTTTCAATTATCGCTGGGTCTTGAACTGTGTTATCCTGTAAATTTCTAAATCGTTCTAGTAAGTGGCTTAAGATCTTTGAGTAGTATAAGGTCGCTAGAGTTGTCATCCGAGCTTGTTTACATGACATATTTGCGAGTTTTATGTCTGATTTGTCTGGTGATAGTAGTCGGCTGGGTTGTCCCGACGGGATAAGATCTTGGTTACCCTCTAATCTAATAGAACATCTAAATCGTTTTCTCTCCTCTTCTTCCTCTCATAACAAAGTTTCCCTCGAACTATTCGTGGCTGCGTTTCCTCTAGCGATGTCTTTTTTTCGAATTTAGCCTGGAGGCTCCTTTTCTTTTGAATTGTCCTCGAGCTTTTAAATCCGATGTTTCTGGCTGGTTTCATCACTTTCCCAGGTGTTTCTGTGGCATACAAATTGATTAGTTGATTCTTCTTACGAGGGCTCGCGTTTTTCGTTTCTGTAGGTCTTTTCACTTTTGAGAGTTATTGCATGATCCGATTCCATTACGATTTCTTCTTCAAGTTCCTTATGGTATGATTCGTCCTTTTTTCTGTCTTGAACTTTTCATTAGGTAAGGGTCTTTCCCGATGGGTTAACATGAACGGGGTTGGCCATACCTAGAGCTTTTTGTTTCTCTGAGCGGAAAAAAATTTTCACTGGAGAGCCCGAGCTTGTTGGCACGCATCTGGTAGCGTTTGGAAGGTCGTCTGATGAGGAGGATTCGTCGTCCAAGTGACCGTCTTCTATATCATCAGAAGCGTCCCAGTCAAGTCGTCTGTTCCGGCACATTAGTTTTCTTCTTTTCTCTGTACTTAATAGCATTTTGTTCTAATCCAAGTTTTTTGAAGGTAAAAGATTTACCAGGTTGTGCCAAATAGTCTTTAGTTATCTACCGAAATGTGCTTCAAAAGGAGAACAGTTTAGTGATTGTTGAGTTACTTACACTCTTTAAACATCTAATTTTTTTCAGTTAGGGTTTTTCTAAAAAGGGTTTTTGTCTTTTCTTGAGCCATGATCATAAATTGTTCTCTGATTGTTCGAATCAAGAGTTCAACCATTCCTATAGCTCTGTGGTCAATCACTGGGCTGAAGATAACATTAACCTTTCCTGTTCTATATTTTCGATGTAATCCGTGCAGAGTTGTACATTTTCTAAGAAAGTTTACGACGGATTTAGCAGATGTGCTAGATGTTTTTTGCGCCGAAGCGAATGTTGAGAATCGGTCTACGCACACGAGTATATGTATTATGTTCCCCAAGTTAAAGGTAGCGGGCCGTCAAAGTCTAACACTATTTCTTGATTTGGATCTACGGCCTATGGGAGCTTTCCGAGATCTTCGTGTTTTGAAAGAGGTTTCAAATTTTTACCTGCTTCAACGCTATCGATACAGCTCTTTCCGTGAACTTTTAATTGTTTCTTGCCAACAGGGTTTCTCAGTAAATTTTCGGCCACCAGATGTAAAGGGTTGCCAAAATTTTTATTGCGAATTGGTCAGGATCAGCTTCATGTAGCCTATGTAGCATATTTTTCCTTCTAATCTATTTGATCGGACATTTTTAGGAACTGTATAATTATTTGAAAAATTGATTGCTTGGCAAAATTGAATAAAATCTTCTGTTCGCTAGTGAAAGTTTTGACACCCTGAGATTTTGGAATGCGTAAATAAAGTTCGCAAAAATGTCTGCAGCGTTCTCAATTCGCTTCTCACGTTCACATTCTTGTGTTGTCATGTCATTAGTCGATTGACCGATCCCATTGCAGTATTCAAAGTCATGTTTGTTGCCAAAATTTGTCGTTTATATGCAAATGAGAATATCTAGGTATCAATTTTTCAAAGCCTAAAAAAGGGCCAACATGATTTACGGCGGCGATAACAAAACTGGCCCGATGGGTGTCTAGAAAGGTTGACCCCAAATCCCATTTACTTAAATGGGAGAGGTTCGACTCTAAAATAATATGGTAAAATTTTATCTGCACAGCTGGTGGGGTGAGATTGGACTGTCTTCGTATCGCCTTTCACAGACCTAGTAATGCTCTATGATCGGTAAGAATAGAAAAGTGTTTGCCCAAAAGTTAGTTGTCAAAATGGTCTAGTTCTCAAACTAAACCCAACAATTCGAGTTCGTTCGTGCTGCACTTTATTTCGGCAACACTGAGGAACCTACTCGCGAACGCTACCATTTTTCAGACTGCCCGTGGTCTTGCTCGAGGGAGGCACCTAATCCTTAATGTAAAGCATCGCATTTTTTTCTTGTATCAAGTTTAATGTTGAAATGGTGGTTTGTTACCGTATTACAAAATTGCTTCTTGGTTTTCTCGAACGCAGCGAAAAGTACCTCCGACCAATTAAACTGTTTTTTTTGTTGCCTTAGTTCCCTAAACGGTGTAGATAAGGATGTTAAGTTTGGGATGAAGATATTGATATGGTTGATTGGGCCCATTAAAGATCTTATCTCCTTGATACATAGCGGTTCTTTCACGTTTCTAATTGCGTCCAAATTGGGATTAAAGGCGCAGTCCCCTTCGCGTCGATTTTGAATCCAACCACTCTATGTGCTAGGTCAAAAATTTAATTTTCCCCCATTATAGGGCTAGTCAATTGTCGTCCATAGTTTTTACAACGTCAAAAATTAATCTGCAGTGTTCTTTTGAGCTACCTACTGTCGCGATTGAAATTTTGTCTAAGTAACAGTGTGTATTGGGTAGTTTTTCCGTTAGAAGGTACATAATACGTTGAAATTCATTCGGCACATCGGCTAATCTGTAAAATCCCGTTTTAAAACGGTATGAGCCTGTAACATCTCCTCCCACAATGTTAGAACTGCATTGGTCAATTGTTTTTTTTTTACTGTGGTATCTGACGGTATGCAAAACTTAGGCCGATAGATGAGAACCAGGTTTTTTTGTTTTCGTCGTGACCCCTTATTGATAAGGCGACGTTATCAATTAGTTCAAACAACTTGTGCATTCGATATCTGTTGCGAAATATTAGTTTGAGTAGTAGATATGAGTTAAGAGCCAGTTTAATTGACCCGGTTGGCTTTCATGAAGATGGGTGAAACAAAACAATCTTCTGAACATCTGGACAGTTGTTCAAAATGTCCCTCGCTAAGTAACTGACCATTACATAATTTCACTTTCAGGAGTAGATGTATTGGTATACGCTTACCTTTACCTGTAATGGTTTTAACGGTTCGTTAAAATATGTCTTCACGATAATTTTTTTTGACCTCCCTGTTCTTTTCAAAAGTTCTGGAAATCGATTGGATATACAGTTTGAAATCACGTTTGAGTGGCGTGTCGAGAAGTTGGCAGGGTTGACTGTCAACTTAAATTTTTTTCCTGGTTTACTTCTATCCCGACGAGTGTTTTACCCGGG